AAAATTAATTTGAATTTATGTTCAAATTTACTGATTCAAACCTATAAACTAAACTTATATTATTTGAACGAAATTTAATAATTATCATACTTACTCAGTCAGTTGGATAGGTCCTCGTCCACGATAACGATCATCATTGCTGATTTCTGTCACAAAGCAATAACCCCATGCATATGGACCATCCGGTGCACTTAGCCATCCTCCTATAGAAAAGTATAAAGATAAAAGAAATAAAATCCTTAGCCTAACAAACACAAACCACACCAAATTCATAATGAAAATAACAACAACTCCTGTGTGTTTAGAATGTAAAAATTAATTATTGGTCCGTCTCCTAACAACTTAAATAAAATTAACTATGATATTTACCAGTGGTTTCATGCGAGGTTTGGCCAAAGAAAGCCGCGAGCTCCTTTCTTTGAGTGGCATCATCACCGGTAGTGCCAAAGCCAGAGAAAGAGCTTGCCGCAGCGAGGAAAGCCTTGTAGGTATAGAACCCGTTACCGGGGCACTGTCCATCATTCCGGTGCTTAAGCATTTCCTCAAAAAGGGACCCGGTAATAATGCTTCCAACATCTCCAAAGGCTCCTACTAAGAAGGCTAAGGTCAACAGGACAATTATAGAAACGCACGGTTTCATTTTTAAATTTTCTTTTAGTTTGTATTTGAAATGAGAAGATATAGGAGGGAGGTGTATTTATAGATGATATCTGCGTCAAGAAAGGGTCATAGGTTTTTAATATGTTTATGAAATTATGATGTTCTCTCTTTGTTTTTCTAACCGCTAAAACACGTCAAGGTGATTAAAAGTCTAGCAAGAATCCGTGGCCAATACTCATACGTACGTACTGAATTTGTGGAACAGTGACACATATCAAGAAGTCGATTGATTAATAGGGATCATATTCCAGATTTTATTGGTAGAGTCAGGAATTTATTTTCTAAAATTGAGATGAAGTTTTAGAATTAGAAAATCGTAACGCAAGGGTACGTTATTATTAACAAGTAATAAAAGAGTGAGTAAAGTATCGTTCCCACAAAGATTGTCTTAATTATAATTAAGTATTGAAATTAGTTAACCCAAAAGATTATTTGAACGATCGAAATTAAGATGAAACTAATAAAATAAAAAATAACAAAAATAAAATAAATATCTTAAATTATTCTGGTCTACGGCTCACCAAAATTAATCATATATGAAACACCTATTTAAATTAATTATGTCTATTTCCAATGTTGATAGTGATTTTTTTAAATTAATTATTAATCTTTCTCAAGCATCAATAATCACACCCCAAACATACAGATATCCTATATTTCTATTAAGATTTTGACACGATGAAATTTATTAAGAACATGAAATCATAACCATTGCGCTAGTCACATAACTATTTCTAACTTAGATGGTCTAATGGCATTCCAACCATGGGTCATGTTTAATCATCACTTTTCAGTCTTAGAATTAAACACCAATTCATATAACTGTTGATCAAGCAATCACAAACATTAAGAACACTCAACATATTTGAGAATAAAACATGAATTAATTACAAATAAGAAAAATCAAATACTCATAATTTGGCTACATCATAGCCCCAGATAAATAAACTAAAACATTAGTTTCGGTAAAATTAAAGAACAAAAACAAATAATTAAAAAATAAGAAAATAAAACCGATCGGAGGTGTTACGGATCTCCAAACTTCGTCTTCTAAATCTTCCTCTTTCACTTCTTATGGCTTCAAAATTACCTTCTCCAATAACCCTAAATAAAAAATAAAAAATAAAAAATAAAATAAAATCCTAAATAAAATGACCCTAAATTTCTTAAAATAATTTTCCCAAATATTTCTCTAATCACCTCTCTAATGGGCTTTAATTATTTTTGGGTCCCTCTCCGTGTGTATTGTGTCTTAGGAAGAAACCCACGCCAGATGAGAGAGAAGGTGTAGCAAGTAGGGCGTCCGATGAAGATACCAGGTGGCATGATTTTAATGGCTAAAGCTAACTGTAGGTGACCGTTCACTTTGCTGATTCGAGTTTGTAATTCGAGTTGAGATGTGATTTTATGTGAGAGCTTTTTACTGTAGCAAAAAAGTTAGATGTGATTGTTTGTGAGAGCTTTTTACTGTAGCAAAACTCGAATTGGTGAAGTGAACGGGGCCTACATATCTTCCATATAGCAAAAAGCAGCGGATCCGGCAGGATGGCAGGTTGCTGGCAGGGGAGTTTAGACGAGCGAAAATTTGCGAGTGAAGCCCAACCGTGCTGGTGACAGATATGGAGCAGGATCCGACGGATGGAAACGCGTGTGGAACGACGTGAAGATTTTGCGCAGGTGGGATTGTTTTAAATCCGGATTTTGAATCGCGTTTTTAACCTTTTTGCTCTCTTTTAATCACTATTATCTAGAAAATAGGCCAATAAAAGCCTAAAAAAGTATACAAGTTAATTTTTAGTTATAGAAATTAATAGGTAATAATTTGTTAAGTTATGGTTCATAATCAGATAAGTTATGGATAAATTTGTCAAGTTATAGTCCATAGTCAGACAAGTTATGGACAAAAACCGTGAATAACTTGTCAAGTTAGAGTTCATAACCAGACAAGTTATGGACAAAAATAATAATTTGACCTATTTATTAACTTATGTAAACTATTGGCCTATTAATTTTAATTCATCTCAAGTCTTAGCCTATTTCCCTCTTTCTCCCATAAATTATTTGAGGGAAAAACTACATAAAACAAATAAAATAAATTAAAATCAAAATAAAATAAAGTGAAACTAAACTAAAAATTAAATAAAACAAATAAAAATCATTGAAAACAAAGTCAATTTAGATGTAAATAGGAGTCAAATAATTCTATTTTATAAAGTTATCACTACCACACAACCAGAAAAAATGTAAGAAAAACACCATTTTATTCAGATTTGATTTAACAATAATATAAAAATATTAGGGAGAGGAGCTTAATACATCCTAACTTTGTTGACTCTTACTAAACAAGTCGACTTAGGTTAAACCCATCACTTTAATCTAAAAGCTAGAAGCGTCCCAGAACGTACGAGTATTGACCATGAATTCTTGGTGTCCATTTCCCTACGATCACGTTGTGGCTAGATGACTTGTTTCCTTGTGCTGTCAACCCCAATGGCCTTACCTGCTTGGTTGTAATTGTAGTCGTTGATACACTAGTCATGGAGTCAACTAGTCAATACTTGAAACAAGCATATCAAACCTCTACTAGTTTAATTTAAATGGAGAGAAAACAACTGTTATCAGAAATTTTTAGTGGATTAAGTTGGTACACACTATTGAAATCTTTTTCTTTCTAAGTCTTCACTCTTAATATTATTAAAAATAGAAAATTACAAGAACTTATAATGGTAGAGAAGAAAATTAAAATTAAAAAAATATTAGAAAAAGACTCTTTGTCAAAATTTGTTGAAAACACAAACGAAAAGAAAAACAGTTCATACAATGAAAACTAATAAAACCATCTAAAAGTTAGATAAAAAGCCAAAATAAAAAAATGTACGTAATAAGTCTAATATGTAAAGAGTAAAAATAAACCACCTGACTCTCATATTATTGATCATATAAAAATAATAATAAATTTATAAAAGCACTAGATCACTCCACTTAATAGGTTGATCTTTTAAGATGAAAACATAAATCTTAAAAATCTAATTCTTATAATAACAATGACTCAAAACTGTCAAATAATAGCGAGACATGCAATAATTTAATCATAAATAAGAGAGAGAAAAAAAGCATACTAATTGAGTTGAAAAGGTCCTCGACCGCGGTAATGATCGTTATTGCCGATTTCAGTCACAAAGCAATAACCTCATGCATACGGACCATCCGGTGCACTTGCCCATCCCCTGAAAATAATAATTAAAAAAAGATAATAATTAGTATAACAAGTATGAATTAATCACCAAATTAGTGATGAAAACGTACGTAAACTGGTGGTGTTTGAAGGGAGAGAAAATGTGTGGGTGGAGGAGGAGAGAGTAGTGGGTTTGGTTTTGGGAGTGGTCGTTAGGCAGCGGGTCTCCTTGTCGGCCTGTCGGAAGTCGCCAGCGACAAGATGCCTGTGGAGGCGGTCGAGGAAGCGGCGGCGGAGAAAGAGGAGGAAGTGGTGTTGTTTGAGGAGAGAGGAAATTTGAGGGTGGATGAGGCGAGAGAAGTGGGTTTGCTTGTGGGAGTTGTCGGGACGCGGCCTCGTCCGCCTGTTGGAAGTCGCTGGCGGCGAGGTGGCTGCGGAGGAGGTCGATGAAGCTCGAGGGAGGTCGAGAGAGAAGTGGGGTTGGGAGTGCTCATGTGTTTGAGAAAGAGAGAGGTCTTTTGAAAAATAAACTTTTCATCTATACCGTCCAAATTTCAATCCGACGGCCACAATTACTGAGCAGATTGGTCAGACAGATTTCATATGCCGGATGAGAGACTATTCCTAAAATAAAGTGAAACTAAACTAAAAATTAAATAAAACAAATAAAAATCATTGAAAACAAAGTCAATTTAGATGTAAATAGGAGCGAAATAACTCTATTTTATAAAGTTATCACATTTTGTATTAGTTTTTTAGTTTTTTAGTTTTTTAGTTTTTTTTTTTGAAGAAGAAGAAGTTTCACTTTTTGTATTAGTTTTAACATGTCATCTTAATGTATGTCCCCTTAAATAAATTCTGACTCCGCCAATAAAAAGCTAGAAGCGTCCCAATTGATCAATCGACTTCTCTTGATATGTCATTGTCTCGCGAAGGTATAATTTCTACAATTTCAGAACGTACGAGTATTGACCATGAATTCTTGGTAGACTCTTAGTCACCTTACGTGTTTTAGCGTTTAGAAAAACTAAGAGAGAACATCATAATTTGATAAACATATTGGAATATTCGCGCATATATATAATAAAAGGGCCAAATAGTCAAGCAATAAATCAAATCCAGAGATCATTCTGTTTGATCTATTATTTTGAGATAAGATAATTGTTTAGGTGAAAGGCCTTTGACTATAGCAATCCACGTTGTTCCCATAACTCACTCCCAATATGTCACAGTACCACTTGTAGAAACCGATCCTATCAGCCACCCTAGCATCTTGACCCTTCCCACACTCAAGCCCACCATTGATTATGTTCGTGATCACACCGTAGCCCGGGGCTCGACCTGCTGACTTGTCAGCATCGGACGGTGTCCATTTCCCTACGATCACGTTGTGGCTAGACGGCTTGTTTCCTTGTGGTGTCATCCAGAACCATATAGCTGTCTTGAAAGATACAACTGGATCCGTGGCAACTAGATCCGGGTTGTTTATCAAATCAACCCCAATGGCTTCACCTGCTTGGTTGTAATTGTAGTCGCTGATACACAAGTCATGGAGTCAACTAGTCAATACTTGAAACAAGCATATGAAACCTCTACTAGTTTAATTTAAATGGAGAGAAAACAACTGTTATCAGAAATTTTTTAGTGGATTAAGTTGGTACACACTATTGAAATCTTTTTCTTTCTAAGTCTTCAATCTAATATTATTAAAATTAGAAAATTACAAGAATTTGTAATGGTAGAAAAGAAAATTAAAATTACAATTAGTTAGAAAGAGAGTCTTTATCAAAATTTGTTGAAAACAAAAACGAAATGAGAAACGGTTCATACAATGAAAACTAGTAAAACCATCTAAAAGTTAGATAAAAAGCCAAAATAAAAAAATGTACGTAATAGGTCTAATATGTAAAGAGTAAAAATAAATCACCTGACTCTCATATTATTGAAATATAAAAATAATAATAAATTTATAAAAACACGGCCAGATGACTCTACTTATAGGTTGATCTTTTAAGATGAAAACTTAAATCTTAAAAGTCTAAAGCGTTTAGTTGGTGGATTTGTGCCATGATTTAAATCATTGTTCATGGTTTGTTATAGTATTTTCTCTCATAAAAAACACACATAAATCGAAAATAGTTCTGAATCATGATTTTTAATCTATGAACCAATTTATGACTATGAACCAATCATGATTCTTATTATAACAGTGACTCAAAACTGTCAAATAATAGTGAGACATGCAATAATTTAATCATAAACAAGAGAGAGAAAAAAAAAAGCATACTAAGTGAGTTGAAAAGGTCCTCGACCACGGTAACGATCATTATTGCCGATTTCAGTCACAAAGCAATAACCCCATGCATATGGACCATCCGGTGCACTTGGCCATCCCCCTGAAAATAATAAAAAAAGATAATAATTTGTATAACAAGTAAGAATTAATCACCAAATTATTGATGAAAACGTACGTAAACTTTTAGGTAACAATTAAGCTTAATTAGTGATAATTATATGAAGTTATTAACCTTTGGTAACAATTAAACTTAATTAGTGATAATTATATTAAGTTATTAACCTGTGGTTTCGTGAGAGGTTTGACCAAAGAAAGCCGCGAGCTCCCTTTTACGAGTGGCATCATCACCGGTAGTGCCAAAACCATTGAAAGACCTAGCAGCAGTGATGAAAGCATCATAGGTGTAGAGCCCGTGAGTTGGGCACCGGTTATCATTCCGGTGTTTCAGCATTTTATCAAATAACGATCTGGTGATCATCTGGTCTGTAAAAAGGCTCTAATTACTAATTTGTTGAAAATATGAGGACGTTGTGTTTTGATATAATTCATAGATGCTAAACATAGAAAGATCAGTGAGTTAATTTCTAGTTAGCTTCGTCCTTAAGAAAATTCTGTTAAAAAAAGATGGCGGAATTCACATATATTCCATTAATAATGCGGTTAATATCCTTGACAAAAGTTGTTCTTCTATTTTCGCTTCATATCTGCTTATGACTTTTTTCTCACGTCAAGATCATGAGTAAAATTCTACTTAATTACCACGAATTCATGAGAAATTCTCATACTTCAAATTGCGCAAATATCTTCTAGAATTGCTGGCTAACTTAGTTGAGGGACAACAACATTAAAAAGTTCATTAATCAGTCAGAAACATTAATTTAATTACTACAGGTTTTTTGGAATCAGCGTTCTTGGTCTTTTAATTTAGGGAAAATTAAGGTTGTAAGTTAAAGATAATCCTACCACCTACGTTCGTTCTGAAAATCTTAGTTTTGGACGGCTGGCCTTTCTAGATTTTGTTCCATAACGAGAACTGACATTTTAACTCTCCGGATATTGTAACCAAGAAAAATGTTTTTTTTGGTAATAAAAAAAATTTAGTTTAGATGCGCTCAAGTGACTCAAATACTAGTCGTTCTTTCTTGAAAAAACTTATGGCATGTATGGTTCAATACAGGTGTGAGAAGAAATTCAATTTTCTTTAAAAAATAATATAATAATTAAAATGTATGAATTGTGAAGAGATTTGTAATTATTTAGTAAGTTATAGCACAAGAATTATGAGAGAGTAGAGAAAGCATACCTGTATAGCTTATGGTTGGGCAGAAAACGACCTTGTAGTCTTTCCCAGTTGGGCAAGTGCTTCTCAGGCCAACATCTGAAGGGTAAGTAAAGGCTTCTTGGCAAAGATCCTTAAAAAACTTAGAATAACTCGTAGGCTCGCAGATATTTCCGGACGTGCAACAAAACTGGTTATTCCTAAACACAGTGCAGGGATTGTTACACCCTTCCGGATCGATCAACTCCGTCGGGCACGCCCCGTTTACTTCCCCGGCGCATCGGCTGACTTGGCTGCAATCCGATGAGACCTCCGAGGGCCTGAATTCCATAGGAACGTTAAACCCTTCTACCACAGAAATGTAGAAAACATCAACGTTATCGTCATTGTTTACTTGGTTTAGTGAATATTCGGCCACCGTGATGGGGGGTCGACCGTTGGTTTCGCACTTAAGGCGGCCTTCGCAGTCGCCACTCTTGCATTTTCCGCCGGTACCAGAGCTGCCGAAGGTGCACTTGGTCCGGCCCCAGATCCGGCCTGTGCTGGATACGTTTCTGAGAAGCCATGTCTCACCTTGTTTTAGTCGCTGCCCTCCGCCGGGTGTTGCGGCTGCCCAGACCGTGTAGGAGCAGTTATTTATGATCTCTATGCGGGTTGCTCCAGATGAGCTAATTAAGGAGAAAGTATGGATTAAAGGGAAGAAGTAGAAGAAGACATTGAGGAGATTTTGGATTAACATGCCCATGGATGGTCCTTTTTTTTTTTCGGTTTTTCTGAATGTAGAAGTCCGTGGTTGTGCTTTGTGGATAGGTTGGTGGATCATGGAAAATGGATGGGGGTGTCGTTAATGCTTGACTTGAGGGCCAGGAAGAGAAAGCATGCTTTGACGAGCCAACAATTCTGACGTTTCAATCACGTACATGGTCGTCAATATATTAATTAATTTATTTATTTTTTTCCAAACTCTTTGTTTGATTTGGTAGTTATATTCTTTTGGAAAATTTTGGGAGACCTCTTTTCAGTATTTTTTTTTTAAATTACTTATAAGATTGTTAAAATGACTACCTACAAAGTAAAATTAAAAGAAAAATGACAATATTTTTACACTTTTACATTGACTACCAACTCGGTCGCGCAGTGTAAAAAGTAATTGTGCTCTATCTTTTTGTTCATTTCCAATATTCCTCTCTTTTGCTCATTTAATTTACCAATCTGTATCACTGTCAACGACACTAACATGTCCGTTTAATCTGATGTAATTTTGATTATATTTAACGATAAAAAACTGGGATTATCAATAATCAAAGAAGCTCACGATGTTTAATATGTATCTCTTTTTTTTAACATAATAATTTTTTTCTAGGGAATATATAAAAAAAAAAATGACTTATGGAGATCATAATTCATAATTTTGGAGTTAAGAGTTATTTTTGAAATTATTTTATTTTATTTATAATTATTTATTATTAAGATTTATTTGAGTTTGATTATTATTAGAAATTAGATTTTTTTTTTTGAGATTCTAATTAGAATAACTTTAGAATTTTCCTATCAATAAATAGGCGGCCTCCCTTTGAATATTATTTTCAGACTGCATTAATCATCACTCTTTTTGTTCTCCCTTTTCTCTCTCTCTCTAAATTCCAAATTCTCCTTTTTTTTTTCTGGCTCTTTTTTTCCCATTGTTATAGCAAACATGGCTACCATTACCATATGACAAAAAAGTGCTAATATCGCTCCGTGTCTTCTACTTCTTTGCACATGTGTTGGGATGTTTTATTATTACTCAAGCATCATAGCCAATGTTGTGAAGAGCAACTCAATTAGACTACCAGCTTTGGATATGTTTCTTCTTCATGTCCATTTTGATGATTGTTATGTGCTCTTGGCTGAGTCTGGAAGCTGTTCTAGATATCAAAGATGAAATAGAAGCTGAGAAAAAAAAATTCAGGATCTCAACGTCGAGGTAAGAAAATTCAAGATCTCTACGTCGAGGTCTAACTTCTGTTTTATTTAATTATTTGTTTATTTATTTTCGTCTAATTAGATTTCCAGTAAATTGTTTATTTATTAGATTTGCATTCCAATAAAATTCATGTTTGATTCTTTCCTCTTTTTTCTATTTTCTCGGTATATATAGAACTACAGACACGGGTGTATTTGATTGTTTAATGCAAACAATAATCATTACATCCTGTTAGGATTTTATTAGTTGGCATGTTTTGGAGTTGGGTTGTACAAAATTCAAAAACAGGGTTATGTTCGTTTTTGGCGTTTGTGGACAGCTATGAAAACTCTATTTCAAGCTGTTCGCACTGGATTTGAAATGATTTTCCACCATAGAAAGAAATCAAAGGAAATCAGTTATGGAGCTAATTGGTTTGACTTTTGGTGGCTATTTGATGAGGCTGTTTTGGAAAGAATCTGTTGAGGAGAAGTTGCTATGTTTAGGGTGATTTTGGTGGGAGAATAGATGGGTCTGTTGACCAATTTGGATTGTATATAATTAGTATGCAGCCATGAACGTGATGTAGAGCTTTGAATGAAATATTCTGCAGCAAAAGGCTGTTTTGATGTTCTTTGAGAGAAAATAGAAAAAGGTGGTTCTTTGGGAGGAGGACATATTGCTTTTGGGAGAAAGCCTTCAAAGATGAGTGGTGCTTGCTAGACAAAGCCACTAAGAGGATTCTCTACTACGATGACAACATCAAGGAGAGAGTCTTTGAGTGTGTAAGACCGATTGGTGTGTGTAATCATTTTATCTTAGTGGATTGTTTACTGTCTGGGTGTGACTACGCAGATGTAGGTGTGTGCACCGAACTGCGATATCAATTCCTTCTGTCTTTTATGTTTATGTTAATCTTTATGCACTTATAATTTGCCGCTGCTGAATCACAGAAAAAATATATCCATCTGCACGTATCTGTCATCAGTGTTACAACTAGTGTTATAACACTCTTTGTGACAGCCGGTTAAAAACAGACCTTTCAATTGGTATCAGAGTGGTTTACTAACCGTTTGTTTGGTGAGATTTTGGGATTTGGACTATAGTGTTAGTGTTGGATTTTCTAAAAGAAAGTGGCTCAGTTTCGCGCCTTCCTCTCCTCAATGGTTCCAATTATTCTTATTGAAAAACTCGTATGAAGGCGTTCATCAAAGCACTTGATGAGAAAGCATGGCATGCTGTGTTGATTGGTTGGACGCACCCCATTACAAAAAATGAGGCTGGAGAAGAAGTTATGAAACCTAAAGAGAAATGGTTTACTGAAGAAGATTGATTGGCGAATAGCAATTCAAGAGCAATTAATGCCATCTTCAACGGGGTGGATGCCAATCAATTCAAACTCATTTCTACATGTGAGTTGGCCAATGAGGTTTGGAAAATTCTACAGACGGCGCATGAGGGCATGACAGCCGTGAGACTATCAAAGCTTCAAATTCTCACTACAAGGTTTGAAAACTTACACATGCTTGAAGGTGAAACAATTTCTTATTTCAATTTAAAGTTATGTGATATTGCTAATGAGGCTTTTACAGTTGGTGAAAAATTTCCGAGGCGAAACTAGTGAGGAAGGCTTTAAGGTTGCTACCAACGAGATTCGTTTACAAGGTTACAACAATAGAAGAGGCAAAGGATGTGGAATCTATGAGGCTTGACGAGTTGATGGGCTACTTACGTACCTTTGAAATGAACTTGGATAAAAATAACAAGGAGAAAAATAAGAAGGAGAAGAGGATTTCTCAAGGGATTGCTCTATAAGCCGAAGTATAAGATAATGTTGAAGAAGAAGATGAAGATTTGGCAGAGTCTCTTTCTCGTTTAACTAAGCATTTCAATAGGGTGATGAAGAAATTCAACGGAAAGAGCAAAACTCCAATTTTCGACAACTCCAACAATTTTCAGAAAAATAAGGGAGCTGCAAATGCCTCTAATGTTAAGAAGAAGAATAAGGGAATTCAATGCCGAGAGTGCGATGGTTACGACCACATTCAATCCGAGTCTGCTAACACTAGCAAGAAGAAGAATAAGTCGCTTAATGTAACTTGGAGTGATGAAGAGTCAGAAGGTAGTTAGGAAGATGACGACCATGTGAGCAATTATGTTGCTTTTAATGTTTATACTGATCAGGATTGTTATGCCAACATTGTCACAAAATGTGTTGCAGACAGTGTTACAACACTTCCTACAGCAGATTCTGTGAACAACAAAGAAGATGGAGTTTTTTAGATTCTGACAGTTCCAATGATAGTGAAGAACTTACTGAAGAGACAATCCAGGACGCTTATGAAACCATGTTCAACAAATGGGATTAAGGTAGGATAAACAGATATCAATGAGGCTCTGAATTCCCTAAACTCATCAATTACTCTAGGATCCTCTTGTAGAACTTCTAACTCAATATCCCAATACATTTGCCATTTGCCATTAACATTCTTGTCTCCACACTTTATTTCTTTCTCTCTCTTTTTTCTTCTTTTTTTTCTTTTTTTTCATTTTTTTTGGAATAATACGATAGATACAGAATTTCATTAGAGACATCAAACAAATTATAGAAAATATCAATACACCTCCCAATTCCAAACACAACTCAACGTGCATCCTAGAATAATCAACAAGCTCAAGGGAAATGGTGAATGATAGGATTTATTTAAAGGCTAAGCTAATAACGTGGATGACAAAGAAAAGTTTAATCAGGCTCAAAGAGGTGACTAGGGATATTATTATAACAGGGTAAGATCAAATGGCTCAAACGATCCAAAAATGGCCTAAATCATTTCCTTAGTAATAAATTGCTTGGGATTTCGCCTTGAGTGATAATCAAACAAGTTCTAGAGTCCAGTGAGATCTTAAGAAACACAAAATTCACATAAACTTTCTCTAAGTTCACAACTTGGCCAAGTGCTCTTAGTTATGTGCTCAATAATGCAAGGAAATCATAAGTAGAGCAAAACTAACAAACAAGTCAAGCACACAAACAATCAAATTATTCATTGTCTCCTAGAAGCCATAGTTAAGTTCAATCATTGTCTCATCATCGGCCGGGGGCGAAACAAGCCGAACCAAAGCTCAAGTTTGTTTTTTTTTTTAATAAATTGAATAAAATAACATAAAATAAGATAGTTAACTCCCCCAAACTTAAAATTGACATTGTCCTCAATGGAAAAGTAAAGCAAGAGAGTGTAGAGGACTTCCTTGAGTAGTTGTCAGTCAGTGTCTTCATTGGGTGCAAGAGGAGGTGCGGAAGTTGCAAGGGGTTTTTTTTTTGAGGCAGCGCCAAGGCGTTCAATGGTAGCGCCAAAGCGCTATGTGCTCTGCCACTTTTGCCTAAAAAGGCTATATTTTGAGCGCCAAAACGCTACTGTTGCTGCCAAATATGTACTTTCATGCCCGCTTCAGCTTTATTTCAATTGCAAATCCTTAGAGCAACCCCCAAACTTATTTATTAACTTTAATGTCTTCAGCCGGACGTTTAGAGAAGTGCTCGTCAAAGAGTGGCTTTCGCCCATAATAAGTGTCATACAACACGATATATGGGTCTAGATTATGGATGCCCTCAAGCTTGGCATGATTTGGAAGTATTCGGCTCATTGTTCCAACATGGCTTCGCTTTGATTGATGATGAGCTTGGAAGGAGAACTTTTCTTTAGGCTTGATCATGTAGAGGACATAATATGGTGATGGTGGTGTCGAAGGGAAGTAAGGATCCGTTGTTGGTGTGTATGATAAAACCACTAATGAGCTCAATTCAATGGCCTCGTATACTTCTTCATCCTCCAACGGCTCTCGTACCTCTTCTTCATCTAGGAAATCCTCAAATAATCCCTCTAATTTCTCTTCACTCTCAACTTCGCTATCCATAGCCACGCATGCAATTTGGTCTTTATAAAACTCATGGTTTTGGATGGATACCTTGTTTCTTAGCAAATCGGTGTCGGCACCACGAGAGTCCATCTGTACTAAGGTTTAAGCAAAAATAAATTCGAAGGGTTCTTGTTCTTCTTCTTGAGGCTTATCTTCCTTTAGAGGCTTGAATTCCATTGACAACTTCTCTTGAATGTACCAACCTTGATAAAACTTCACCATATCATCCATCATTTGGTAGGCTTCATCCTCAGGTCTTTCACCGAATGGGGTTGTACCATAGCCATCTTCTACCCAACTTTTGGTCGCTATGCTCAATCCTTTAATGAAGATATGAAGTTGAAGCCACTTTGGAATACCATGTTGCGGAAACCTAGCCAATAGCTCATTATATCTCTCCCAAGCTTGATGAAGCGATTTAGTGTCGTGTTGAGCGAAAATGATGATGGCTCGGCCCATCTCCAATTTAGTCATCATTTTTTTTATTATTTTACCTGCAAAAGAAAGAAAAAACTCGAAAAACAAAATTAGAAGAAAAACAAAAGAAAAAAAATTCAAATTAATCCTAGAGCTAATTAGTATTGATATTAATCAACATTAAAATCCAAAGTAAAATTAGAGTTATTTAGTATCGATATTAGCAAAAACAAAACAATCCCCGGCAACGGCGCCAAAAACTTGTTGTGAAAAATCGTAACGCAAGTATACGCTATCACAATCAAGTAATATAATAGTGAATAAGAATATCGTCCCACAAGAATTGTTATTTACTAATTACCGAAATTATATTAACCCTAATTTTATTTGAATAATTGAAAAGTGAGTTTATAAAATTAAGTAAAGTAAAACTAAAACGATTAAATAAATCAAACAACGCTAAACGATGGAATAAAATTCAATAGATTAAGACTCTAGGGTTTTCGATTTCACCAAAATTAATCATGTTCAAATTCCCATAATTCAAGAAAATTAACATTCAATCCTATACTGATAGCAATTTCTCTAAAGCAATTATTATTCTTTCTCAAGCAACGATAATATTAATCCAACATGCAAAATCTACATCTCTGTCAAACTTCTAAACCTGTTGAAAATCATTAAGTGCAAGAAATTCAAAAGAACTGTACAAGCATCATAGATATCTCTATCCTATGAACAACTCATGGTATTTCAATTAAGAGCTTATTTAATTATCACCTTTCAGTCTCAAATCAAATACAACATCATGTAATAGTTGGCCAAACAATCACAAGCATTAAGAATAAATTGAAATACTCAGCATATATAGATTAAACATCAATTACTTAAAAATAAGACTGAGAATCTGAACATTCATAATCCGGCTACATCGTAGCCCTAGAAAGAGGAATTAGTTCATCTCTAAACAAAATAAATTCCTAAACAAAGTCTTAATCATTGGAAAGGAAAGAAAAGAACTAGTTTGGAGTTGAATTGAAGCGTCTCTGTCTCCGGATTTGAGCCGTTCTTCTTCTCCGTACCCAATTCTCCTTTTCTTCTCTTGAATCTTCTCCCAAAAGCCAGCCGTCACTCTGGGACGATATTCTTATTGACTATTGTATTACTTGATTGCGATAACGTATACTTGTGTTACGATTTTTCACAACAATAACCGGTGACTGTTGTGATATCAGCGATTACCAATTGATAACTGCCCGTATCTACCTAGATATCGATATTGGGCACTGATGTTACTGATATCGGGCACTGATATCAGGGTATCTAAGCCAATACCGACTGAAAGCCGCAGATACCAACTGAAAACTGCCAATACCGGTGGCACCACGACCATTGTCGTCCTTAGAACACTTGAAAATCATAAAAAACCACAAAATTCAAACACAGATCAGAGGGAAAAAATCATAAACTAAACTGGGAAAAAAAGCACAAATAGATCAACAAAAAAAAAAAGACGAATAAAGTCACGAAAAAAATTGGTCCTCAATCTCTCTAAAGAGGAAATCTCGGCACAACCATCGTGGAGGAGATTCGTTCCGGAGATAGGGGAGATTTGATCTTCGTTGCCGTCGCATTATTGCGCGGGGGAGATCTTCACGGTTGTTCGACTGTGCAAGGGAGAAACCGGGATCACACTCATGGTTATGCAGTTGTATCGCAAGTTGGTGGAGATCTTCTTGAGCTCCATCTTTCTCTCTTTCTTCCCAACGCTGTTACCAATCTGACTTAGGGAGGATGTGCTGACGATGAACCATGAGATCCGTCATCAGAAAGTATGGGCGGCGATGGCAGATCTCTAGAGTAATTGGTGGGACTCTTTTTCACGGTCCCGATCTTGCACCGGGAAAGATACACATTTCAATGGCAACGATGTTGGGCTCCGACAACAAAATTACATCGACGAGCGATGGTGCTCGATGACAAGAGCAAAGTCGAGAAGAGAGAAGGGATGATTGAGAAGTGAAAGGGGAAGGTGGGAAGACGGCTGGAATTGGGAGACGAGAGAGAGAAAAAAAAACGCAACCCAATTCATTTTAGGATATTTTAGTAATTTTGGTCTAATACTTCCTCTGCCAGGTGGTAGAAAAATTAAGGACTCGTTCAGTTCGCCAATTTTAAGGAGATGTTTGTTTCCTGTATTCGTTATTGATGCTGAATCATAATTCATGGTTCTCTACAGTGATTTTCTTTCACAAAAAACACACGTAAAATGAAAATAGTTCTAAATTATGGTTCTGAATCTACGAACCAAACATCAACACATTTTTTAATTCAAGTTAAGATATCACTCTATATGAGAACTTTTAACTATAACAAAAAAAAGTTAGATGTGACTTTATAGGAGAGCTTTTCAATGTAATAAAATTATAATTAAAAACTCAATTCGGTGAAATGAATCATAAACAAAAGTCGATCAACCACAATTTGTTGTGGCAGGAAAAGTAAATAGCTCATAATAGACCTTCGAGCTGTAAGGCCCATCACAAGTCTTTATTCCTTTAATTTTATGGCGTTTAATTAGATGTTGTGGTTCTTTGGTTTTTCACTTTATTCTATTGTCGTTTGTAATGTTGCCAATTTTCTATTTCAAAGTCTTTTGTATTGTTTATAATTGAATCTTGTCAGGTGTTGCATAAATCTATTATGTTGTAGTGGCGAGATGGACATGATCGATTTCTTTACAACCAAACAATTCAAATTGCGAAAGAAAATTTATAAGATATGAGGACTTACCATGAAAATATTACTCTTCCGCATAAATAAAAAAAATACACTACTTAAAGTTGCTAATTTATTTACACCTTTTGTTATGCCTCAACAAAGGAATAAACAGTCCAATAGAGAGACCAAATCAAAATATATTGGCCGAGAAAAGAAAATCGTAATAAACAATCATCAAGAACCATCAGCAATTTGCTTATAGTGATGTTGTTTTTTATTTAATTTTCGTTTGCGGTGATGTCATTATTTTAATTTAATGTCGTTTTTGTTATAATTGCTATCTCGACAATTGCTGTCGTTTCTTCATCCGTTTGGCCGTTAGATAGTTTATGAGAATAAAAAGTCATTGGGAGTGGCTTTGCAATATTGGAATAATTATTCTTGATGAAGCTCAAAGAAGCGATACATATAATACTTAAACAACCACGGAAAAAACTGTATACACAAAAAAAGTAAAAGAGAATATATCTTTCTCGAAGAAGGAAAAAGAAAAAGTAAAATAAGAACATACGTTTGTTACGACAAGAAATTCCTTCCTCCTGCACTAGACATTTTCTTCAACTTTAGGCTCTGTATTTTTCCCTCATGACTAAACGAAGTTGTCTTTTTATTTTTTTATTTTGTTTTTATTCTTACTCTGATCGTTATGATGAAGGAAAAATACAAAGGCTTAAATTGAAGAAGAAGACTTTTCCGACATGCACCAACCTTTCCCTTTATATATTAATTGATTTCGTATATGCACATATACATATACATATATATATATGTATATATATGTATATATATATAAGACCCCCAAACATGTGTACTCCATTTTTTTTTCCCTGCGTTGATCACGTCGTCTCTTTCGTTTCTTATAGGGCAGTTTTTATTATTATTATCCTCGTTATGGTTTTGGGCTAATTTCACTTTTCACCTTTTTTAATAGTAAATGGGTTAATGTCGTTTTTGGCTCCTGAACTATATCGATCTTTTATCCTTTGCACTCTCAACTATATGTTGTTTGTCCCATCCACAAACTGTATCAGTGTTTCTTTTCTCTATGCACCGTTTTTATTTCACACATTACGTAAGAACTTTCGACATCAAAGGTGAGAGTATTACATAGAATCTTTTTTTTTTTTTTTTTAATAAGCAAAACATTATTAGAAAGATAAGGATAATAAAGCATGGTAGTACGACATATTCCTTTATCCTCTCTATCTCTTATTTAAATTATTAGGGACTCCTTCATAATACGAACAAGCTACTGATTAAAAGGACGTTGATTGTAGCAATCCAAATTGTCTCCGTAGTTGACTCCCAAGATGTCACAGTATTTCTTGTAGAATCCAATTCTGTTCTCAACCGTGTCCTTTTGACCTTGTCCACATTCGACGCCACCATTGATTATGTTGGTGATCACACCGTAGCCCGGGACTCGATTCGCCGAACGATCAGCATCGGAAGGTGTCCAGTTCCCAATGATGACGTCGTGGCTTGACGGCTTATTATCCTGCGGGGTCATCCAGAACCATATGGCTGTCTTGAATGATATAATAACATCTGTGGCAACTAAGTCTGGGTTGTTTATCAAGTCAACCCCAATTGCTTGACCAGCTTGCTGATAATTGTAGTCACTGGAACAAATTAAATCAACTGGTTAAAAAATTATAAAAAGCTAAACACTTCTATTTTTTTTTTTTTTACAATTTTCCAATGAATTAAGCAACGAATTATTACTATTCAATGAACACAACCACACAAGTTTATTAAATTAAAAGCTAGCATATGATCTTCTTTGTTTGTAGATGTATTTCTGTATTAGATAAGTAACATCAAGAAATTCATGTAATTTGATCAGAAAGAGGGATATCAAATGTATACTGCGCTGTTTTCTCTAATGTCAAAATTAATTTGAATTTATGTTCAAATTTAATGATTTAAACCTATAAAGTAAACTTATATTATTTGAACGAAATTTAATAATTATCATACTTACTGAGTCAGTTGGATAGGTCCTCGGCCACGATAAAGATCATTATTACCGATTTCTGTCACAAAGCAATAACCCCATGCATATGGACCATCTGGTGCACTTAGCCATCCTCCTATAGAAAAGTATAAAGATAAAAGAAATAAAATCCTTAGCCTAACAAACACAAACCACACCAAATTCATAATGAAAATAACAACCACTCTTGTGTGTTTGGAATGTAAAAATCAATTATTAATCCGTCTCCTAACAACTTAAATAAAATTAACTATGATATTTACCATTGGTTTCATGCGAGGTTTGGCCAAAGAAAGCCGCGAGCTCCTTTTTTTGAGTGGCATCATCACCGGTAGTGCCAAAGCCAGAGAAAGAGCTTGCCGCAGCGAGGAAAGCCTTGTAGGTATAGAACCCGTTACTGGGGCACTGTCCATCATTCCGGTGCTTAAGCATTTCCTCAAAAAGGGACCCCGTAATAATGCTTCCAACATCTCCAAAGGCTCCTACTAAGAAGGCTAAGGACAACAGGACAATTATAGAAACGCACGGTTTCATTTTTTAATTTTCTTTTAGTTTGTATTTGAAATGAGAAGATAAAGGAGGGAGGTGTATTTATAGATGATATCTACGTCAAGAAAGGGTCATAGGTTTTTAATATGTTTATGAAATTATGATGTTCTCTCTTTGTTTTTCTAACCGCTAAAACACGTCAAGGTGATTAAAAGTCTAGCAAGAATCCGTGGCCAATACTCATACGTACGTACTGAATTTGTGGAACAGTGACACATATCAAGAAGTCGATTGATTAATAGGGATCATATTCCAGAGTTTATTGGCAGAGTCGGGAATTTATTTTCTAAAATTGAGATGAAGTTTTAGAACCAACTGTTACCGAAAATCGTAACGCAAGTGTATGTCATTATTAACAAGTAATAAAAGAGTTAGTAAAGTTTCATTCCCATAAAAACTGTGTTAATTATAATTAAGTACCAAAGGTTAGTCCAAAATATTATTTGAACGATCAAAATTAAGATGAAACTAATAAACTAAAAGAATAACAAAAATAAAATAAATATCCTAAATTATTCAGGTCTATAACTCACCAAAATTATCATATATGAAAATCTTATTTAAATTAATTATGTTTATTTTCAATGCTGATAGTGATTTTTTTAAATTAATCATTAATCTTTTTCAAGCGTCAATAATCATACCCCAAACATACAGATCCTATATTTCGTACAATTTCAGAACGTACGAATATTGACCATGAATTCTTGGTAGACTCTAAGGGCTTGTTCTTTTGATGTTTTTGAGTTAAGTAACTTGAGTGTAGATTTTGAGTTGAGTTTGAGTTATAACTTGAATTGAAGTTGTAATTTGAGTTTGTGTTTAGTTGTGTACATTTGAGTTATGGTTTGAGATAAGAATCTTTTTTGAGTTTGTGTTTGAGTAAGTTAAAACTTGAATTTGTATTTATATAGTATTTTAATAAAAACTCAGTGCTGATGAAAAATTTTAATAGGGTATATGGGTCTAATTTTATTCGTCTTTTAATTGTTAACGCATAGAAAAAAAAATCATCTCAATTAGAATTAAAACGAAAAAGTTATATCATTTTTAAGAATAGAAAAAATACTGTTCATTAACTTGAGTTCGAGTTTCTGAACTTGAGTTAAAGGGGAAACATGAACTCGAGTTTTAGTTCTAAACTCGAGTTCAAACTCAAGTTCAAACTTAAAAGAACATAAACTCAAATAAAGTTATAACTCGAGTTACTTTTTTTTGAGTTTTTCACTCAAAAACTACTCTGCCGAACAAGGCCTAAGTCACCTTACGTGTTTTAGCGTTTAGAAAAACTAAGGCTCCGTTCACTTCGCTGATTCGAGTTTAGAATTCGAGTTTTTCTACAGTAAAAAGCTCTCACAAACAATCACATCTAACTTTTTTACTACAGTAAAAAACTCTCACATAAAGTCACATCTCAACTCGAATTCTAAATTCGAATCAGCGAAGTGAACGGGGGCCTAAGAGAGAACACGTTGTGGCCCGGGACTCGACCTGCTGACTTGTCAGCATTGGACGGTGTCCATTTCCCTACGATCACGTTGTGGCTAGATGACTTGTTTCCTTGTGCTGTCATCCCGAACCATATAGCTGTCTTGAAAGATACAACTGTGACAAGACAACTAGATCTGGGTTGTTTTTGTCAAATCAACCCCAATGGCCTTACCTGCTTGGTTGTAATTGTAGTCGCTGATACACAAGTCATGGAGTCAACTAGTCAATATTTGAAACAAGCATATCAAACCTCTAGCTAGTTTAATTTAAATGGAGAGAAAACAACTGTTATCAGAAATTTTAGTGGATTAAGATTAAAAAAACTTATAATGGTAGAGAAGAAAATTAAAATTAAAAAAATATTAGAAAAAGACTCTTTGTCAAAATTTGTTGAAAACACAAACGAAAAGAAAAACAGTTCATACAATGAAAACTAATAAAACCATCTAAAAGTTAGATAAAAAGCCAAAATAAAAAAAATGTACGTAATAGGTCTAATATGTAAAGAGTAAAAATAAAGATCCTATATTTCTATTAAGATTTTGACTTGGTGAAATCTATTAAGAACATGAAATCATAACCATTACACTAGTCACATAATTATTTCTAACCTACGATGTTCTAATGGCATTCCAACCTGCCAGATAATGTTATTTCTAACCTATGATGTTATTAAGAACATGAAATCATAACTATTGCACTAGTCACATAATTATTTCTAATTTCTAATTTATGATGTTCTAATGGCATTCCAACCTGCCAACCATGGGTCATGTTTAATCGTCACTTTTCAGTCTCAGAATTAAACACTAATTCATGTAACTATTAATCAGGTAATCACAAACATTAAAAACACTCAACATATTTGAGAATAAAATATGAATTAATTACAAATAAGAAGAATCAAATACTCATAATCTAGCTACATCGTAGTCCCAAATAAAGAAACTAAAACATTAAATTCGGTAAAATTAAAGGACAAAAACAAATAATTAGAAAATCAAAAAATAGAACCAATCGTAGGTGTTACAAGTCTCCAAGCTTCATCTTCTAAATATTCCTCTTTCGCTTCTTATGACTTTAAAATTACCTTCTCCAATAACCCTAAATAAAAAATAAAAAATAAAATAAAATCCTAAATAAAATGACCCTAAATTTCTTAAAATAATTTTCTCAAATATTTCTCTAATCACCTCTCTAATGGGCTTTCATTATTTTTGGGTCCCTCTCTGTGTGAATTATGTCGTAGGAAGAAACCCACGCCAGATGAGAGAAAACGAGGAGCAAGTAGAGCATCTGATGCAATCTACCAGGTGGCATGATGTCATTGGCTAAAGTTAACGCTAGGTGAGGTGGCAAGGTATGACAGGCTTAGAGTGAGGGATATACGTTTATTCCATAGAGCACAAGGCAGCGGATCCGGCAGATGGCAGGCTGCTGGCAGGTGAGTTTAGACGAGCGAAAATTTGCGAGTGAACCCTCACACGAATGAAGACGCGTGTGGAACGGCGTGGAGAGTTTGCGCACGTGGGATTGTTTTACATCCGGATTTTGAATTGCGTTTTTAACCTTTTTGCTCTATTTTAAGAGGAATGATTGAGTAGACGTGGTACACTGTCTAAAGATTGTATTATTTAGATATTTTATTTACATTAATTTTTAATTTTTTAATTTTTTTAATAAATATTTGCATTAATTATTGAGTTAAAAATATTTATTATTATATTTAATTTTTTTATTTTAATGACTCTAATTTCTTTATTTTAATGACTTCACTTTAAATGAATGTCCCTTGCTATTCTATGAGCTGATGGAAAAAAAAAGCTTTTTATCATTCATCTGCTTTATCTGCATAATAGGGTTATCTTTTAATTTCGCATTGAAGAGTTAAAGGCAAGACAACAAAGAGCTCAACAATATGGAAATTGAAAAAGGTATTAATCTCTTCAAAGTTTTGTAAGCAGGTCTTCATTTTTTATTTATTTTAAATAGTTTTGAGCATTTGGGTAATGATTCTTGTTATATATATATATATATATATATATATATATATACACACACACACACTCACACATTTGTTTATTTAGTTTATACCATTGTCATCTTCATATATTTATTAGAAAAAAAGAATCTTGATACATACATACCATTTAAGCTTTTGTTTGCTTGCGTTTTTCTCTGTCTTTTTTTTTTTTTTTTTATTCCTTGTTGTGCCGTTGAACGACTTTAAATCTTTTGCTTGTTTTGCTGGCCTTCTGCCCTTTAATGAAGTATCAATTTCATTGATTATTGAAACATTAGGGTAAAAAAAAAAACTATTGTTTGAAGTTTTAATATGCTTTCTTACAGATGATATTGAATTCGTCAATAGAGAAGGTGACAGTGACAATTTATTATGGAAAGTAGTATCTAGTGAGGATGAGACTTATGAATTCTACAATAATTATGCACAGAGGATTGTCTTAGTATTCGAAAAGGAAGAGTTTGATATTTTAGGGGTCAAAGAATATATGCTCTCGTGAATACGTGTGCTTTAAAGATGGTTTTAGAAAGACGAAGTTTCTTACGAAGAAAAGAAAGTGAACAGGTTAGATCCCAAATAATTACCTGCCCACCTAATTCAAACACAATTGAGGATTAATAAATTATTTGAGGGAAAAACTACATAAAACAAATAAAATAAATTAAAATCAAAATAAAATAAAGTGAAACTAAACTAAAAATTAAATAAAACAAATAAAAATCATTAAAAACAAAGTCAATTTAGATGTAAATAAGAGCGAAATAACTCTATTTGATAAAGTTATCACTAACACACACAACGGGAAAAAGGTAAGAAAAACGTCATTTTATTCATATCTCATTCAACAATAATATATAAATATTGAAGAGAGGAGCTTAGTACATCCTAACTTTATTGACTCTCACTAAACAACTCGACTTAAGTTAAACCCATCACTTTAATCTAAAAAGAAATCTAGAATGGTCGATTACTCAATTTGTTATAAATTAATATGAAATAAATTTATAACACTTTTCACTTTCCCCTTTCTTTGGTCATGACATAATTTTGCAGGACAATCAAATCAATCAATTGCCATTTAGAATTTCACCTAACTATTACTCAAAAAGAGGACCTTAAACACTATCATTACATCATACACTAGTTGTTCATAGTAGAGTTTCTTAAATAATCCCCATGCCACTAACTTGTGCACACTACATACACGATAATTAAGATTTTTTTTTTCTTTTTATAAAAAAGGGGGGCAAAACCTACCCTTCGGTGCATGGAATAAAGTGGTTATAAAAGTGGCTAAAAATTGACATTGAATCGACTTTAACAGCTTTATGTTGTGAACGTTCAATAGCTTTATGTTGTTGTTGGCAAACAAATAGAAAGCATGTTAGAGGATAGATTTGCTTCTCCATCTCTTTCAGAATTGGACATTGAATCGACTTTAACCTAAAAATGATACAGATTATCCGAATGATATTTTTTCTTCTCTCCATTTTCTTTTTCTTTTGTTTTGTGTTGGTTCTTTGTTGGTTGGTCGTGTAATTGTAAAGGGT